CTTGGCTTTTTTCTTACATGCAAATTATCGTCTTTTTGTCTAGAAAAGACCAGAGAAGACTACTTCTCTTCGGTAGTCAAAATGTACGGGGTAAACTATTATCCGCCTTTGCTGGCAAACATGGAAAAAGACCTCGAGACTTGAAACTTGCTGAATACAGCACTTCATCTCGTTTTGGGACTGGTGATTTTGGAAGTACTTCAAATGCAGAGGCTTCAGATTTACCAGAACGTTTTTCCATCTCTCTTCGCCACCATTTCCGTTTGACACGATGATGACGAGAGCACGAGAGCCTTTCCTGCGGTGCGACTTTATCTCCTGAAAGAATAAAATTACTACGATTTCCTGAAGGATGTAGCACCATAAATCTCCATAAAGAAATGGAAAGTGCCAAAAGTGACTCTGGGGAAACAATACAACGGTTGTTTACTAGTGACGGAGTGGTGACTGTATTGTCACACAAGCTCTAACTCAGACATACCGTTGGGTAAGGCTCACACAAAGTACACTTACATATTACAGCAAAAGCTGGTAAAGTTATAATTTATAGTTATATGTGTACGGCAATAACCTCCTTTTTGACCGCTCCGGACTTACCGCAATCGTTGAGACGGCGGCTCCGGTAAGACTGGCTGGACCGGTTGAGTGAGCGACACGCTCCAATTCGAAGACGATTTCCTCCTTTGGCTGGAGGCCAAGCGGCAGCAATACGGTCGAATTGCTCGCAAATGTTATTATGGATACTGCGAGTCGCCTCTGAAAGTTAAAAGCACTGACAGCTCGAAACATCTGTGAAAATAACCCTGCTCAGGGAATCTAACTCAAACCTCAAACACATTAGCAGGCAGAGCTTTGAGCAAATCAATGGCCAATTGCTTCTCTTGATAGAAACTCTGTGAAGGTGTTGAGGTGTCCAACACAATCAGCAGATCAACAATCGCCGAGCATGACCTATAAAGGTCTGTGTTTGGAAAATGGTCTATCACCTGGACACCTTGTTTGAGGAAGAGTACTTACTTAGGAGCCTGGAGGACGACGGAGGAAGCTTGCTGTAAGATATAGTATAGAATTTCATTCAAAACACCACAAACACTGAACGACATGATGAAGAGGCTGACTTAAGCACAGAACGCCGACAGTGAGTCACTCCTTCTCCGCTCGTCTCGTCGAGGAACTGTCTGACCCTGGCATCGATGTAGACTCTTGTCTTATCACCGGCGTACAACTCGAGTTCTCTGAAGGTATGAATTTCATCTTTGAAAACCAAAAAATCACCGCGAATGGGATCAAATAAATCAGGAAAATGTAGGGAACTAGGGCACTGATGGTGTCGGTTTAGGTTAATGAAAGCAAAAAGAGCCGGCCAATTGCACCAGAAGCCGCAGTTGGCGCCAGAGTGTAAGGGTACTCAGCCCCGTAGGAGAAGCAGGAGGTTTAGAAATCAGCATAAAGGTTTCTAGCGAATCTACGCTTACTCCATTGTTGGATAGGGCATGAAGTGCTGGCCATTGATATAAGAGCGGTTGGCCTGTCTCGCATGAGGGGAAACTGATCTGACTTCGAAGCCCAAACCATAATCTCATAGTGATGTAAAAAGCCCTCTGTTTATGTTGTGTTCGTTATTTCAATAAACATTCTTCCTACTGTCTCCGGATTGAAGGCAAAGGGCGCGATGAGTCCTGTAGGCGTGTAAGATGAACACGCCAGTTACCAAACAATTTCGCGCCCTTGGGAAAGCCTTACATGGTGTCTTCTCCGAGAAAAAGTCGGTCTCTAAGCATCTTAGAGCTTATCCTACCGATCCGTACTCCCTCCAACAACGACACGCCCACAAATGACCGCACCGATCAGCAATTGATCACCATCGGATCAGCTGTTTTCACCACAGTCTGCGCCTGAATGGCATTTTTCTCCCTTCTTAAGAGTTTTTTCTCAAGAGGTACTCTTACTGGCAAGGAAAACAAGTCTTTCTTCGGCAGAATGCGAGGTTCCCTTATAAGCTGTGCTCTGTCTAGAGTTTTAGACTTGTTTCTTTCTCTTGGCTTTTTCCACATGATTCCCCCGAATCTTCGACAGCCGCTTCGTGAAAATTTCACTAGCATGTCCCTGCTTCTGTTAAAGACCCCTTCTGATATCGTCGTGAAGTTTGCTCCTGCTTGAAAGTATGTGTTCTCATAATTCCTGTACAGTGGCCGTGATTTTTTTCACATTACTTTGACCACCGATGATTTATCTCAGGCGTGGGCTCGTACAGTTCCTGATTGGAGCGGGTATTAAGAGCCCTATTTGAGGTATTTCAAACGGTTTCGTCCCGTTTTTGCTTTACTGTTGTGCTACAGAGTGTCTCCACTCCCATTTCCTGCAGAGAACCAAATTA